ATTAATGTATATTAATATACAATAAAGATTACTATTTGTATAAATTAATATGCAAATAGATCTTTTTGTTTAATATTCAAACTTCATATTGAACTATTTCATATTGAACATAATTCTACATATCAACAGAGAATTCTTCTATATGTTAGAAAGTTACTTGACTTAATTCTCTTAAGGATGTAAATAATAAGATAATTATACAAAACTAAAAAAAAATAAAAAATTTCACAAAGTATTCACTAATGGATTATTAATAAACGCAAAACTCAAAAACTGATACTTTTTGTTCATCTCTTGTACATCTTGATTAACTTTTTGTTATTTTGAGGAATCGAGTTTTGAAAATGTGTTTTCTATAATTCTCTGTGTTTCATACGATCTTAGGTAATTTTCCTCCAGTTTTTCCTCCTTTCATTCTGAATCTCACAAGACGCTCGGCATGGCTAGACGTTGGTCGACCTCTGCCAATAGCCCTTAAACCGACTAATGATTCTTCTTCTCCAACAGATCCGTCAATTGCACCGTCAAAGTAATCAGATATGCCTCGTCCAATAGCTCTTCTACCAACCATCGACACTTCTCTTGAAATAATTGACTCATCGTCAAGAAAACCACTGTAATCGCTCATTCTCTGTCTGATTTTTCTGTCATGTATCTCTTCTTTCTCTTTATTGGACAATGATTCAAAAGCTGTCATGGATTTAAATTTGGATTGATCATCTTGCAAGTTGTCGACTAATCTTTTATCTTTTTCCAATGATAACGCATTTTCTAACGCATAACTTAGAGAGTTTTCAGGATCTCCTAAATCTTCCGAAACGTCTTCATCAACATTATTTTCAGTCCCAGAGCTGTGTTCTTCCTCCAATTTCGTATCATTTTTGTTGTGATTGTTTACTAAAATATTTATTACATGACACAAACTTTTAGAATCAATAATATTTATACTCATCGATATTTCTTTATCGATGTTGGACAAATCTGTACACGTTCTCAGTGTAAAAGTTTGTTTACATATGCAAATTTCAAAAACACTTGGGAATACTTACGTGGAAAGAAATACGCTTCAACGGTCGTTCTTGCGGGACAATGCCTGATGTGTTGTCCGATATCGATCTTGTCCAAGCGATGAGTGGCATCGTACGGACAGATTACTTTCAAATTGTTTGGATAATTCTAAAAAACATTTAATCATCTGATCATATGTTGTTTACGTACACAAATGATATAGAGAAACAGTCGAAAGTTTACCTTCTCGCATTTGACGAGATGCCGCGAGAATCTCAGCAATGATATAAAATGATATTTATTGTACGGACATTGCAAAACATCGTCTTCTTCGCATGAGTTATACATTCTTACGATATTATTACAATATTATTGCAAAATTCTGCTTGCATTCACCGCCTTTTGGGTTAGGTGGCGCCGGAAGTTCCGGTGAAGATGTCGCTATTGTTCCGTGCGCGTAGTACGAATGTTGGAGCCTTACCCCGCATGCGCGCGAGATTGTGATTGTGATTGGCGGCGGCCCAGTGTTCCGATATGGGACCGTTTGTACGCGCATGCGCGACGATGGAGATACAAGGTGCGTTCAGACAACTCAACAGTTGCACAACGGTTGAGAGATAATCACTTCTGATTGGATCATACTTTTGGAACTAAATCAGATTTTGAAGAATAGTCCTATCATAAGCGATGATCTCTCAACCGTTGAGTTGTCTGAACACACCCACAGTAACATGTTATGTGCAGACCCTTTGGCGGAACGTGTATTTAGCATATAAAATGTGATATATTAAATCTGATGTATTAGTATTTGAAGAAAGCCATGCAATGTTATTTTTTTTTATTTACTGTACAATATTATTTTTGTTACTTAAAGATTTTAATTTAAGATTGAATAGCTTTCAAAATTTTTATTTTCTGCAATTTTTATTTGTACTTTAATATTATATTCTTCTTTTTTATTTTAAATATGTATATATTAATATTATTATATATTATTAGTATTATTATTAATATTATTTATATATTAATTATTAACGAATAATTGAAATAATACATTTTTTTTTTTTTATTGTATAAATACTGGTAAAATTTGTGACAG